AAAAAAAAAGGAATCACATTCCTATGATAACTCCCTCTTTTCAGAATATGAGTGCTGTTTAAAGTTACTGTTAGAGGTCGAGAGGCTTGCCTGGTGGGACTGACGTAAATTAACAGGATGTGAATTGCATGTTAGCATCATAGAGGTCTCACATCTCTCTCCTCCAGGCATTGAACTGTGCTTGCCCAATGAGCTCACACGTGGGGATGGGTAAAACCCTCCATGCACGTATCTCCAAGACCAAGTGGGCCACAACAGCTGAGTGGGAGGAGGCCATGGGGTCCTAAACTGCTCAGACTTGCCAGGTGTTCCTACCCATGGCAGAGGGCTGAAATGCCTCAATGTTGTTTAACAAACCCTGGGGTAGAGAATACAGGGAATTGTGGGATAACTGTGTGACTTGCCTCTATTTCTCGATGCCCTGAAATGTCCAGTTCATTGGTCATTTAAGATAAAATCTCATAGTCCTGTCCTGGGTAATGGGGTGATCCTAACTTTAACAAGGTTCTAAAGCAGCAACAGAGCCAAGATTCAGGCCTCTGTTCCAAAGCCCATTCCCATTGCTCTGCAATAACTGTTTCTACCAAATTCCAAATGGTTTCTTCTAGCCTCAAATTCCCAACAGGCTAACTTCATACCATAAACAGTACATGATAATTCTAATAGCAATTCTCAGAGGTTGCAGTTGCCTATATTTTCTTCTGGTCACCATTAACTTGAATAAAAAATGGCAATGCATTTTCATCAGTGAAATCTCAGAGCACGGTGTTTCCTAGATAGAGGGCACTCAGGTTTTATAACTGTTTTCGTTCGGTTGAGGAAGCAGGCAAGTCTTCAGCAATGCCTTCTCTCCCCAGCAGGGAAAGTTTGTACTTTTCTTGTGTTCTTTCATTTCTACTTGCCCACTAGCTATAAAGAACACAAATTATAGATTTAGTAATTACTTGTTTCTTCCCTATTATCACTTTCTCTGCGAAGGACAGAGCCAACATAAATTTACCATGTTACAAAAATTTCATTCCCGGCTTTATCAGCACAAAATCTGGAACATCCCCAGAATACTTTTTTCTCTGGTGGGGGAAGGAAGAGTAGCTGGATATGAGCTTAACACGAGTGTAATGGTGGGATGTTGAATTTAAATGTGCATGTACAACTCACAGATTTCTCCCCATATATTTCCAAAAGAATAGTCTTATAGAAAGATCAATTATATTTTTGTTTTGGTCAAAAAATGTTTAAATGAGTTCATAGCAACGCTAATTAGACATCTTCTGCCTCTATCTGTAGGTGATAAAAGATGCCATGGTTGAAAGCATTGAATATAGAAGACAGAATCCATCTCGTTGCTCTGTTTCCCTCAGTAATATTGAGGCAAGAAGATTTTTCAACAAGGAGTTTCTAAGTAAACCCCCGGCATAGCTTGCGTCCCGGAAAGGGCAGCAGTTTCTGACACTGAAGAATTTGAATTTCCATGACAACTGGATTTAGAAGCACAGGACAGATGGCTGTACTGGTCATAAGAAATGGGCTGATACTCAAAGTTGCAGTTATTGAGCTGCGTGGGAAGAATACTGTTACGAGTTTGTTAGGTTGACAAATGATGTCGATTACGCAAAGTTGTACTTAATTACAGTTTCTGTCAGTGTGAATTTTCTGATGCAAACGTAGGGGCATATACTGTATTTTTAAACATTTCTCACCAATTTCTTATATGTGCTTTTTTTAAAAATGTGGTTTTCCTTTTAACATATTTAACAGTTCGATCTCAATGAGTAAGACCTCCCATTGTGTGTGAATGTTATTCACTGACTAGATTCATTCATTCCATGAAACAACACTAGTTTTTATTTATATTTGCATATATGAAATAAATACATTGATGTACAAATTAACATGAAATAACTGAGTTTTTTTGTTATTCTTTTTAATGAGATACTGTAACGTGGCTATGAAAGAGTCTCAGATTCACTACATCCAAACCCAACAGGTTTCGATCCTACACTCAATGTGAAACTTTTCATTTAAATCATAGTTGTTTTTCTTAAAGAAAGAAATATATAATTTGTTGAACAAGTGGTATATATTTATTAAATAAGTACAAAAAATATATCATCACTTCTAATGCTTCATTTCATTTTGCTGATACTGTCCTGGACCACTTATCTACCAACCAGTGTAGCTGACCCCAGAGAATAATCCAGAAAAGAGGCAAGGGCCGTATCGGGCTTTATGAAGCGGCCTGCTGTTGGCATCTGCAAGACTGGTCTCCGGCCAGGCTGTGTCGCACAGCGGTGGTTTCAGTGCCGCGGCTCAGGATTGATGCTCCGAAGCTGAGGTCTTCGTCTTCTTCCTTTGCTCTTTGCCGTTCTCCTTTCCTAGAATTACCTTTCTTTAAGCTCTCTACTCACTTGTCTTATTTTTCTTTTTCACCTATTTCTGCCTATGAGGAAAGACATAAAGCAATAATAAAGAAGGAGGCCTTGAAAGTTTATTCTTTCGTTCGTTGATTTATGCATATGGCAAATGAGTGTCCACCACACGCTACGAGGCATGTTGTGAGATCTGTGGGTACAACAGTGGACAAAACTGACAAAAGTGCTTGCCCTTGAGAACCTCACATTCTAGTGAGATGACCAGCGATGATAAACAAGACGAATAAGTATCTAGAAGGCTGAAGAGTGGTAAGTGCTAAGGAGAAAAGTAAAGAAGAGGAAAGAAGAGATGGGAAGTATTGCAGATGGCAAGTACTGGAGATGTGTGGTTGGTCCTGGGGGAGGTTGTAATGTGAAGGTGACATCAGAGTGAGGCAGTGAAGAACCGAGGGAGCAAGACCTTTGGGTATCCAAGGGAAGAGCATTCCTGGCAGACAGAATAGCAAATGCAAATGTCCTGAGGTAGAGCACCAAGCACGCTCTGGGAACAGAGAAGGGAACAACGTGCCCAGAGCAGAGTGGGAGGTATAAAAAATTGTGTCTTATTTATTTAAAACTAGGAAATGTTGTTTATATTTAATTTATCCTTCCAAAACCCCTGTGAAGTAACAAGACTAGTGAGGTTAAGAAACTTGCCTAAGATTACGATCATGATTATGTCTTAACCAGAGTCCTATGCCCTTGACATTGTGGCCTGTATATCACAATCTATGGTGCCCCCTAGAAATAAATTAGATGAACACTT